GACTACAACTGAGCAAATTTGATTCAAGGTGGCTGCCACAGCTAATTGAAGCACAAAAATGACTTTAACCCAATCAGTTTTACGGATAGTTGAGTTAGTGATAGAGTGGGCACTGACAGATCACTTGAGATTGCAGTTATTTGATGGCCATAACTCCATCATTTTTCAACATAGATGGCCTTAATTTAAAACTGGCATGAGAAGGTGGTCGATATGCATTCCCTTAAGGAATACGAGGCATACTTGTCTTTATTTTTTCTTCAACAAAGACGTTATTTCTTGTAGAATTTCAAAGTGGTTTTCGAACAACAGCTGTCTTTGCTTTTAGAAAAAAAATCAATTTTTTTCTTTGTACTTTAGCTGCTTTTTAAAACAATTTTTTATCCAGGTCTTATTATTTTCAAAGAAGTGGGTTTTTTCTATTAAACCTCCTAACGTTAACATATACAATATTTAGGAAGGAAAATGTGCCTGCACTGAAAAGGTGAATCTGTGTGGTGTCTAATTTACAAAGACCTATTTTAATTTGTGTAATTACACATATGAAAGGTAACATTATCACTTGCAAATGTGAGTTGTTGCACATTATCTTTCTTGTTACTACTTTATTATTTTTCAATTCTGCTAAGCCATGCAAAAAACACAGACGTCATTAAAGTTTCAGGCTGAAGATGCTGACATGCAATGTGCCCATCTGATAGATGCTTATCTGAGTTATGCACCTAAGGTTACAGATGATCTGATAGAGGTGAATCAGTGGGCAGGTGTTTTTCAGCCACTTTGATAAGTCGGTCACCTGAAAAACATTGTACATGACACTAACTGTTGAAGTTCTGAATATTGGTGGATGTTTTTTTTTAATTATTTTATTATTTTTTTGTGGTTGAAGGCCAAGAAGATGCTTTGTTTTGTTGCTCTGACAGGGCTTTATATTCTAGCCTTGGTTTATCACAAGTTAAAATAAAGACTTTGTCAAAATAATATATGTATTTTAGTGATGCCTTATTTTCTTGGTTATAATGTTCATGTCTTGTTAACAAATGTGAAGCCCAAAAGGTTACAGTAGATTTAGGTTAATAATAAGAACATCTAAAAGAAAAATTGTACAGAGTGAATCAAGGGAAGAAACAAATATAAAAGCATGAAATGTGGAAAGTAAAAAAAAAAAGATTTGAAAAGAAACAAATAAGAGTGGAAAAAAAAAAGATCTCTTGCCCAGTTACTGTACGTCTTCCTCGGTGTAAGTTTTTCCACAGCAGTGGCATTTCCACTGCACAGTTGTGGCTGGTTTTGTGTCGGAGGATAAAGTCACCCCCAGAGTGACAGATGGCAGATCAGGCCCAGCGGGGAAAGAGCAGAGAGGGGAGAGAAGGCAAAGAGGCCGTCCCACACTCACAAAAGTGTTTCGGGTCAGAGGTCAGGGAAGCATCTGCTCTGGCCTGAGGGGACATTGCATCGCCGGGAGAGACCTGTTGCCGCAGTGTGTGCTCTCTGCTGGTCTTTTCAGCATGTGGGAGGATCTTTATCGCAAAATGGGCTGACTTTGGGACAAAGAGGATCTGTTACACCTATTTACTGTGGGGTAACACACACACACATACACACGAAACTGGTTTGTTTCATTAAATCGAATTCTATTTTTTTTATACTAAGCATTTACAAGGTGAAAAGTGAAGTAGGAAGCAGATAAACTTCAAAGCTACTCTAAATACCTTTACAGTTGTCTGTCAATTGCAACTGTCTGGCCTCCTTGTTGGGGCAACCAAGATAGTAACCCCCGCCTCACTGAGTCAACAACTGAGGTTTTAGCAGCCCTGTGCGACATGAGGGGGATGCTGTAAAACGCAAACTGCTGGGAGCTATAAAAATTTGTGCAAAGCACAAAACAAGTAAACGGTGGACGGAAATCCAAATGTAGGTTGGAGCAACGATATTGACAAAGTGGAATAGAAAGAAGATGTTGTTTAGAATCAAATTGGGAACAGGTAGGGGAAAGAGGGAATGAAATCTGTGATGTGGGGTGAGCTGAAGAGACAGAAGTTGCAACAGCTGACTTCACATGGGTTCTTTGTGTCCTGGGAGGAGAGGTTGGCTTTTCAGTACCCCCATCTGAGAAGAGGACAGAGGGGAGGGAGGAGGGGAGAAAGGGGAGGAGAAAGGAAAACGGGGGGAGGAGGAGTCCTGTTTAACAGCTGCCTTCATTAACATGCGCACCTGCTCCCTGCGGAGCTCGTCGGAGGCCAACAGATGCCCCTTCTTACATGTAAACACACACTATGTGCGCAACTGCACACTGTCACACCAGCTCCAATTCAAACATAAACACCTTTTTTTGATTACTTTAAATAACCTCTTTTATGTGATCCATGGGACATTGCAATTACATTCAAGCTGCACCTTCAGTATCTGAGGATTTGCTAATATCAGAATAACTTAATTCTTCAGAAAGTGCTCTGTTCTGAGGTGAAAATGCATTTAAGCACACTGATACTGGAGAAACTACATTCAAACACCAGTGCTGAATAACATTGCTGAAATTTGCTGAAAAAGTGGAAACTGAGTTGTCATAGCTGAAAAAAGCAAAACACTAGCTAAAGACTAAAAGAAGCTAAATGCTAGCAAAAGTAAATAAACACAAGTTAAAAGTAACAAAAAGCTTATTAAAAGCTAAATGTATCAATTGGCTAGTAAAAAATGGCAAAATGGTCATTAAAAGCTAAAAGTAGCAATGCTAGTAAAAATTGAACAAAAGGTAAGGTAAAAGCTAAAAATAGCAAAAGTACCGAAGAGCTAGTTAAAAGCAAAAGTAGAAAACACTGTCTAAAAGTAGCAAAAAGCTTTTTTAAATGCTAAAAGTAATACACTTTTAAAAATGTCAAAAGTAAAATAAAGCAAACATGCATTTTTCAAAGGAATTTATGTTATTGAAAATATCCCAAAGTGATGCATCAGGAAGAAGTTTAATACAGTCAATTATACATTTTGAAAAGCATAAAAGTTACAAAAACTCATACCATTTATTACCTGAATAAAGTGAACATTTTGATGTAGGAATGGCTAATATAAAATAAGCAGGTAGATTGCAAAAACTGTGTGTGTGTATGTGTGTGTGTGTGTATATGTATATGTATGTATGTATAT